GGCTTTTCAGGGTTTAGGGTTTAAGGTTTTGAGGCTTTTTAGGGTTTAGGGTTTAAGGGGTTCAGGGTTTTTGGGGTTTAGGGTTTTTAGGGTTTAAGGTTTTGAGGGTTTAGGGTTTTTAGGGTTTAGGGTTTTTAGGGTTCAGAGTTTAGGCTTTTCAGTGCTTAGAGTTTTTAGACACGCGCATCAGGGTTTTAGGGTTAAGGGTTTTAGGGTTCAGGGTTTAGGGTTTACTGCTTTCAGGGTTTAGGTGGTTTTTAGGTTTTAAGGTTTTTAGGGTTTGCGGTTTTCAGGTTTAGGTGTTTTAGGGTTTAGCTGGTTCTATGCTTTTTAATGGCTTTTCAATGACTTCTAAAGGTTTTTGCGGTTTAGGGTTTTTAGGGTTTAGGGCTTTTAGGGTTTAGGTGGTCTTTAGGGTTTGGGACTTTTAGGGTTGAGGGTTTTGAAGCTTTAGGGTTTTTACGGTTTATGTATGGTTTTTAACGTTTAGGGTTTTAAGGTTTAGGTGGTGGTTCTGTGGTTTTTCATGTTGTCTTTTGGGAATTTTTTAGGTGCAAAATTTTTAGGTGTTTTACGGTTTAAGGTTTTTAGGGTTTAGGGTTTTCAGGGTTTAGGGGTTTTTGGGTTTGGGGTTTTGCAGGTTTAGGGTTTTTAGGGTTTGGGGTGTTTAGGGTTTAGGGTTTTTAGAGTTTAGGGTTTAGGGTTCTTGGGGTTTAGAATTCTTAGACACGCGCATCAGGGTTTTAGGGTTTTGGGTTTTAGGGCTTAGGGCTTAGGGTTTTCATGGTTCGGGGTTTTAGCGTTTGGGGCTTTCCAAGGTTTAGGGCTTTTACGGTTCAGGTTCTTTTTAGGGCTCAAGGTTCAGGGTGTTTAGGTTTAGGGCTTTTAGGCTTAAGCTTCAGGGCTTTTAGGGCTTAGGTGGTTTTGAGGGTTTTTGGCTTTAAGGCTTTTACGTTTAGGGTTTTTAGGGTTTAGGTGGTTTCATGGCTTTAGTGGTTTTCTAAGGAGTTCTAAGGGTTTTGCGTTTAAGGTTTTTTAGGGTTTAGGTGGTTTTTAGGGTTGAAGATTTTGAGGGTTTAGGGTTTTGAGGGCTTAGGGTTTTTTAGAGTTTAGGGTTTTTAGAGTTTAGGGATTCTAGAGTTTAGGGTTTTTAGGGTTTAGGTGGTTCTATGGTTGCTAATGGGCTTTTTGGGAATTTTTCGGGGTTTTACGGTTTAGGGTTTTCAGGGTTTAGGGTTTTTGGGGTTTGGCGTTTTCAGGGCTTGCGCGGTTTTTAAGGCTCAGGGTTTTTAGGGGTTTAGGGTTTTTAGGGTTTGCTGTAGGGTTTAAAGGGCTTAGGGGGTTTTTAGGGTTTAGAGTTTTCAGGGTTAAGAGTTTAAGGGTATAGGGTCGGGGGTTTAGGGTTTGGGGTCGGGTGGATACTTTTCGCGTCCATAATTAATGGAATTGCGCGCGCGAAAAGCCCGGCCTCAGGCCGGAACCCTTACCCCGTCAACCCTAGACCGGCAGCCCCAAACCTCGAGCCTTTTTCGCGTCCATAATTGATGGAATTGCGCGCGCGAAAAGGCCGGCCTCAGCCCGAGCCCTCATCCCTTCAAACCCCCAGGCCCTAGACCCTAATCCCTGAATCCTGAACCCCTTTCGCACGCGTAATTCTGAGCTTCGAATCTCCCAGCCGATCCCGCAGAGGCGGAAACGACAGTGCTGTGCTATGCTTTTTTGATGGCCTTTCAATGGAGTTTTAGAGGGTTTTACGGTTTAGGGTTTTTAGGGTTCAGGGCTTTTAGGGTTTAGGTGGTTTTTAGGGTTTAGGACTTTTAGGGTTTAGGGTTTTCAGGCTTTAGGGTTTTTAGGGTTTATGGTTTTTAACGTTTAGGGTTTTGGGTTTTTGGTGTTTAAATGGTTCTGTGATTTTTAATGTTCTTTTTTGGGAAATTTTCAGGGGGAAAAAATTTCCGGTGTTTTACGGTGTAGGGGTTTTAGGGTTTGGGGTTTTTAGAGTTTAGGGTTTAGGGTTTTTAGGGGTTGTGAGGGTTTAGGGTTTTCAGGGTTTAGGGTGTTTAGGGTTTATATAGGGTTTTTAGGGTTTAGAGTTTAGGGTTTTTGGGGTTTAGGGTTTTTCGGATTTTTAAGGTTTAGGGTTTTTGGGGTTTAGGGTTTAGGGTTTTGAGGGTTTAGGGTTTTTAGAATTTAGGGTTTAAGGTTTTTAGGGTTTAAAGTTCTTAGACACGCGCGTCAGGGTTTCAGGGTTTTGGGTTTTGCGGTGTTCAGGGTTTACGGTTTTAGGGTTTAGGGTTTTTACGCTTTAGGGCGTTTAGTGTGTTTTTAGGGTTTAAGGTTTTTGGGGTTTAGGGTTTTTAGGGTTTAGGGTTTTTAGGGTTTACTGCTTTTGGGGTTTAGGGTTTAGAGATACCGGCATCGACCTCTTGCATCGAGCCAAAATGCAGACTTCAGCCACTTAGTTGCCCAACATCCAATCGTTGCTTCGTGCCTCCTGTGTTCCACTGAAGTACTGTCAGGAAATCCAGCGCCAGCGGCAGGGGTCGACCCTGCAGATCATTGAATTTCAATAGTTGCTCCAAAAAATCGCGCCGCCAATATCCCGCTGCAGAAGACGAAGAAGCATCGGCACCCAAGCTGCCAGGTCCGACAAAAACCTCACTCAAGTCGCGGCGCCATTTCTCGTAGAAGTCCCTTTTCGTTGGATACGCCTCAGCAGAGGCTATGAGCCCCGGCACAGAAATGACTCTGGACGAGATGCCTGTATCCGCGTCGACCACGTCCCTTCTTTTCACACTCCATGGAGACGCTTGAAGAGGAAGGCCACGAGCACCGCTCTCGTAAGCATCCCTATCTCTAGCTCGTGCCTGCAAGTCTTCCACGCTGCACTGACACTTATCCTGCATGTACATCAAAGCAAACGGCGAGTAAGCGCCCACAAGCGTCTGCAAGGGCTTCATGAAATGCACGCTGGCATGTGGATCTTGCATCAGTGGCCTTGCCACCGGTCCAGCATATGAACTTGTGGCCACAGCCGGCACGCCAGCAGGGGTGGCAGAGGTCGATAGAGCACTACTTGGGGGGGGCTGTGGGTGCAGCAAGCGTGGGCCCGCAGCCAACCTGGTCCCCCAAATCCGCCCCCACATGCATCCTGAATCGTGCGCACGGCCTAGCACTTTTGTTTCAAAACACACCTAGGAGCGCACGCTCGACGCATTTGGAGCGCACACTCCACGCAAACAGGAGTGCACACTCGATGCCTTCCCCCATCCTGAACCAGGAAGGCCCCAGGCCCCGAACCAGAAATCGTAAACACTAAGCGCCCGGAACCTTAAATCTTAAACCTTAAAGGCCTCGACCCTACGTCCATACCTTAAAGGCCGCGAGCCCTTTTTCCTAAACCCAAAGGCCCCGAATCCTAAATCCTAGACCCTAAAGGCCCTGAACCCAAAATCCTACACCCTAAAGGCCCTGAACCCGAAACTTCATCCTTCACCCAAAAGGCCCCGAACCTTGGGTCTTAAACCCTAACAAGAACCCTGAATCCTAAACCCTACAAGCCCCGAACTGAACCCTATATCCTAAACCCTAACGGCCTCGAACCCTAAATCCTAAACCCTAAAGGCCC